TGGGGGCTCTGGCGGCCCGGGCCCCGGGGGCCTGCAACCCGGCCAGCGGGTGCTCTACAAGCAGTCGATCGCACAGCGCGCGCGGACCATGGCGCTGTACAACCCCATACCGGTCAAGCAGAACTGCTTCACGGTCAACCGCTCGCTCTTCGTCTTCAGCGAGGACAACGTCGTCCGCAAATACGCCAAGCGCATCACCGAGTGGCCATATCCTGCTGGCCGCTGGTTGGGGCGCGCGCCAGGGGCTGGGGCGGCGAGGAGGGGGCGGGGCGGGGCCGGGCGCCTGTTTGCGTGGTGGTGGTGGTGGTGGTGGCGGCGGTGGCGGGGCGGGGCGGGGCGGACGGGCGAGTGTTTGAATGGAAGGGTGGACGCGCGGGTGGGCGAATGGGCGGTGCCCGGGGCTCCTGCGCCCCTCGCTTGCCGGGTCCAGGGAGGCTGCTTGGGGCAGGGGCACGCGGCCGGCCTGGAGGGCACCCGTGGGCGGGCGCCCTATGGACGCGGCCCGTGCGCGCGCCGGCTGCAGGTGGTGCGCGTGCTTGCGCCTCGGGCTCGCGGGACACGTATGTTCGCGCGCTCGGGTGGGCACTTGTGTCTGTCTTTGTGGGCACGTGTGTGCGCCTGCGCAGCCCGGGCAGCTGAGGGACGGGCGCTGTCCGTGGTGCTGACGGCCGCCCGGATGAGTGGGGCCAGCGACCCTGACTGCAGAGGCCCCGCCCGCGCCACCAGCTGATAGCAGCCCAGGCCCGGGAGGCTGGGCACGGGGCTGGCATCCTATATCCCCACCTCGGCCTCCTGGCTGGTCCTTAACCCACGCACTCCCTTCGAGTACATGATCCTGGCCACCATCATCGCCAACTGCATTGTGCTGGCGTTGGAGCAGCACCTCCCTGATGGAGACAAGACGCCCATGTCCGAGCGCTTGGTGAGTGCTGGCGACAGGGCGAGGGTGGGCGGTGGCAGCCCCTCCCGTGTAGGGTCTGGCCCGAATGGGCAGCTTCCCTACTCCAATGGAGAGGCAGGATGGAGCCTCCTTAGCTGGCACCTCCCTCCAGGGCAGGCTCAGCCCCTGATGTGAGAACACAGTGGCCATCAGTTGTCTGTCTTGGGCCTTGAGCACCCGAGTGTCCAGCTGGACCTTCATCTAAGAGTTTTAGATCTGGGGGGATGGTAAGGGCATTCATCCTGGTGAAGACAAGAAGGTCAGGGGCTACAGGGTCCAGAGGAACATGGGGTAGCCATCCACCTTCCTTGCACAGCTGGCAGATGCCTTAGTGCAGAGCTGAGTCTGGGAACTGTGATTTCTCCTTCCCATCATTTTCCAGGACTGATGGGAGCTTTTTCTCTGCAGGGCCCACCGCTCTCAGGGAAGCTCTCCTTCCAAACAGCCTGAGTCATTTTACCCCCAGCTTCCTGTCAAGAGCCCCCCAGACCCTGCGGTGCCTGCAGCACAGCACAGAGCCCGTGAGAATTAGGACAGGGTGAGGTCTTCTCAGGACATCGGATCAAAGAGCTGGGGCCAGCAGAGGGCAGGGGTGAAGGCCAGTTGGTGGGCTTTCTGGAAAGGGAGGGTGTTGTTTTGGGTGAGCAGCCCTTCACTCAGCTCCAGCTCTTGACATTGCCCCAGGCCTTTGCCTGGGACCATGGTGGGGGCTTAGCGTGCAGGGAAGAAAACACAGGTGGTCAAGAGAGGGGGCTTTGGGCCTGATTGGGCATCTGGCAGCTCTGTCTTCCTCCTCCCTGGCTGCTTCTCCTTGACTTCAGCTTGCAGAAGATGGGACATTAAAGGGCTTAGTATGGGAGGGTGCCCTACTACTTTCTGGTGTGGCCTGCCATACCCAAACTGGCCTTAGGTTGTGGAATATGGTAAAGCTTCTTGGCAGTGCCCAGAATTGGGTAGGCACCATCCATGATGGACACCAGGAAGTGAGAGCTTCCTGGAGGACCATGGAAGACACAGGTGGTGGCGTCCCTTCCCTCCTCTGGGCTTCAGGTTCCTGCTCTGGTGAGGCCCCTCTGTCTGCTTTATCCTGATGATGGGCTTTGGCCCAGAGGCCAGGAGTGATAGGAACCTGGGGTTCAGGCCCAAATACCAGGTTCAGGGCATGGCCTGAAGTGGGAAGTGAGTCCTAGAGGTGGGTGCAGAGAAGCCAGCGTGTGTGCTGGGCAGGTTCAGGTGTCTGTGCACAGTCCTACCTGGTGCCTAGCTATACAGGCTTCTTCCTGGAGAGTGTGGCTGGGTTAATTCCCAAGGGGGTCTCCTTTTGGAAAGTGAACAGAAGAAAGTACATTTCTGGCTGACCCCAGTCCAGAGTGCAGCTCAGCCCTTGAGGGTGTTTAGGGAAGGCAGTGGAGGAGAATGGCTGGCTCCATGAATGGTCTCCCCAGCGTCCTCCCTTGCTTTCATTTCCAGAGCTGCCTTCAGCTGGAGTCCTAGCTCAAATCCACTGTCTGTCCAGCCCTGGCTGTCTGTACAGCCTATGTAGTTCAGGGCAGGGAAGGGAAGAGGGGTCTGACAGACTGATCTTCCTGGTTGATTTCCCTGGGAAGGGTTCCACTTGCTTTGCTCTTTCCTGTCCATAAACTGTTTTTGAACCCTGTCTTGTGGGGCTCACCTAGGGCAGATGGTCAACATCTGATGGTCAGTGTCCCCTTGGGGAGAATAGACATTCCTGAGTACAGGAGAATAGGAAGCTGGAGAGCAAGAGACCATGTGTGTAGCCCTCCAGGAGCCTTGTTTTATCTGTTGTGAGTCAGCATTGGGGTGCAGGACAGGAGCACCAGGCCCCTCAGCAGCAGTCACTGTTGCCAGCCAGGCCATGGGCTGGCTCTACTGTGGGCAAGAGGGGGTCCAGGCCATGTGGTAGCCAGTGCTTCCTGTGGGAGCTGGCAGGGCCTTGCAGCTGGTTCCCGGGCCCGATGCCTGGCCTCCTCCCTTGTACAGCAGAACAGCTCTCTGAGGGGCAGTTCCTGCCAGGCTCCCACAGTCTGGAGGGAGAACACTCAGAGGATCTTGGTGGTGGCCTCCTCTCTGCCACCCTGTCTGTTCCTTAAAGCCTTAGTTCCTGAGTGCAGGCATCTTCTTCCTCGTGCTGACTGTCCAGCTCCCCAGGAGACTCTGCCTCATTCCCACACACACAAATGCTGTCCATGCTTACCACTCTGTCCACACTGGCTCCTTTCTCCCTGTGCTTCACGCTCTGGGCTTAGACTGGAAGGGTGTGCCCTGCTCGAAGCGCCGTGATCCTGGCTGAGACGCAGCTGGGGTGGAGGAAAGGGATTTATTAGACTCTCCCAGCTTCTTCATCGTTGTGGTCGTAGTTTTCTCCAGCTGGAGTCCTTTCCTCAGAATCTTGCCAAGCAGTCCTTGCCCCACACTGATGTCATACCCTGCCTAGGTCTAAGCCTGAGCCCACCTTCCTTCAGCCTGGGCTGGCCCTGTTCTGGAGATGTAGGACCCAGGCCTTACTGGGTGGGGTATTGCTTGGCTAGAGGTTTGTTTTTTTTTTTTTTATTTTCCACAAGGATTTGCACATTCTGCTTATCTAGGAGTTTGTTGAGTGCCGAGGCAGGCGGAGAACTGAGTACTAGGCATCATCCGGCGTTACCCAGGCAGTCTTGTGCTGCAGCCAGAGCCTGGGTCATACTGGTTGGCCCAGGGATTCTGCTGTGGTCTCTGCCAAGCTCCTGTCTCTTTTTTGTTAGGACTGGGAAGACTATGAAGGATGTTGAAGGGGTTGTTAACTATAGTTAACATAAGACAGGTTTATAACCCTGCCCAACAAGTATCCACTTCTTCCCTAAGCAGGCCTGCTATGTGTTCTGGGCAGCCAGTCCTGGGCACTCTGCCGGGTGGAACACACACTATGAGGCCAGGACGCCCACAGGGGTCATGGCAGACAAACATATGCAGGCTGGTGGTGGAAACTGTAGGCTGGAGATGTCTGGGGGCCTCAGGCAGGATGGTCCACCTTGGGGCCTGCTGTCCTGACCACTGTCCTGGGTGCAGAGATGACTGTGACCTTTGCTCCTTCTCAGGATGACACGGAGCCCTATTTCATCGGGATTTTTTGTTTTGAGGCGGGGATCAAGATCATAGCCTTGGGCTTCGTTTTCCATAAGGGCTCCTACCTGCGGAATGGCTGGAACGTCATGGACTTCGTGGTGGTCCTCACGGGGTAGGTGGGCAGGGCTGGTGTGTGGTGGTGTCCCTGGGCCCTGACTGAGACAGTGTAAGGAGGTCTCCCTGGGGTGGGAGTGCTTCCCCTGAGCTGTGCTCTCTGAGGGTGCTGATGCACAGTGCCCTGCTGCAGGAGATGTGTCCCCACAGGGCTCACAGCTGAGGGTTGCTGGGTTCTATGGCTGGCGTGGCCAGCATGTTGCCTACTGGGTGGTGGTGGGCTGTGGCCTGGGAGGGCACTTGGCATCACATGCGAAGGGGCAACCAGGCAACATCTCTCTCAGCCCAGAGCCGCCTTTGTGGGGCTGTGTGTCTCCTGTCTGGCTTCTGCTCCGGGACAGATGGCACTTGGTCTGAGAGTCCTACCTAGCACTGAGTGCATTCTCATCATAAGCAGCTCTTGATTTCCTGAGCAGCCAGGAAATCTAGGGGTCAGCTGCTGTGGTCTGAGGGTTGAGACCCTGGGCCAGGCCAGCTGTGTCTTTTCCCTGGGGCCTCATGGTCCCTGGAGTTCAGGTCCCAGGAGGGGAGGAGGAGCCGGCTGCACTGTAGGGTTGCAGTCTTCTCACTGGTCCACAAAGCCTGGTGTGGAGCAGTGCTGGATCTGACGGGGGAGGTGACTGTGGGTTTCTTGGGTCTGGGGCTCCAGCCTCCTTAGCCCCATGGGAGGAAAGGATGTTGGCTAGTGGCCTTGGGGCTCTGGGTCCCTGAGATTGGGGTGGCCACCAGGGCACATTGTGTCAAGGTGGCTTTGTGCCCTGCCCAGGATACTGTCTGCCCCAAGGAGGGGTGGTGTTGGCTTGGGATTTGCAGAAAGCCTTCTGGCCCTGTGAGACCTGGGGCAGTTGGCAGGGAGGGTGCCCTTGGAGGAGCAGCACCCCCACATCCAGGGCCACTACTTGGGGGCATCCAGGAGCCACTGTTTACATCTGTCTCTCTCCTGGACACAAGTCTCAGAGGACATGAACGGCGTCTTATTTTTCAGGATGTCCCCTGGGCCCTGCTGAATGGCAAAGCATCAGGGATGGGCGTGATGGGCCTACAGGGTCTTCTCCTGGGTGCTGGTCTGGGAGGGAGGCTGGAGAGTCCACTCCAGGGTCTCCACAGTGCGTTGCCAATTCTGTGTGCCTCTGTGAGAGTCAGGAGAGGCGCCCAGGTGGGGGCACAGCCTGTGCTGGGCAGGGGACAAAGGCAGCTTCCCTTCCTGGGAGCTGAAGAGCAAGGCAGGTGAAGAGCAAGGCAGAGACCATGCCGATGCCCTGCTGTCTGTGTCTTTCTCTGTCTCCCCTCTGCCCCCGTGCCTGCCTCTGCGTCCCCTCTTATCTCCTCTTCCGGATCTGTATTCTGATCTCTGACTTCTGCCTCAGGCTGTGTTCTCTTGGTGCCTCTGGTAGGGTGCTATATCCCAGAGTCACAGACCTCTTTGGTTGGGTGTGTCTGGGCACAGGGACCTGTGTGTGTGTCTGTGTGTGGAGGGGAGGGCCTGGTCCCTGAGGTCCAGGGAAGAACCCTGTCCCCAACTCCCCGAGCAGTGGAGTCCCCTCAGGCTGTGAGCATGGTGCAGTGCTAGGCAGGCACGGCCTGTCTCATTACTCTGTTGTTTTTAATTAGGGCTTAGCTAATTGGTGCTCAGAGGGCTGGAGGCCAGGAGGGAGGAGGCAGGCAACACCCTGGCTGTTGCCTGGTGACCCTGACACAGTCCCAGTGGCAAACTGGGTCCTTCTGCTGTGGCTGTGGCTGTGTCTGGTGTGGAGGTGTGGGAGCTGCCTGGGGGATCCTTGCACTGCTGCCCTGGGGAAGCCTCTAGGCTGGCACGGACCTGTCAGTGGGGTTGAGTGCATCATGCCTTTCTGGCTGCCCCTCCATGCCAGGCTCAGCAGTGGCTGAGATGGGTTCTGCTAGGGTGGCAGCCCTGGGGAAGTGGGGTGGTGCCTGGGCTGGGGCCCAGCCAGAGCTCAGGTGCTCTGGAGCCCCTGGCCCTCTGAGAGATGAGGCTGGTGGGTGGGAAGGAGCAGCCCAGTCCTACTTGGGAACCAGGTTCCCAGCTGGCTCAGCCTTTGGGACCACCCAGCAGGGCAGTGGCCCGTCCCTATCTCTCTGTTGAAGGAGTGCCAGCTCCTGGCCCACCCATTCCTCTCCTAGGTAGAACTGGGACCCTGAGCCTGCTGGCTGATGGGCCTGGCTGTGCACAGAGGTGCAGAGGGTAGTGGAGGGGTGTGTCCTTCTGTCCCTTTGGCTCGCTTTCCTGCTTTTCTGCCAAAGCTTCATCTGCTCATGCACCCACAGAACCCTCTTGTGTTCATTGTTGATTCCTGGGGTTTGGGGTGAGCAAGTGGCTGAGCCCCGCTGATCTCCACACACTCAGCCTGAGCCCTTGATGGGAGCCCTGCCATGCCTGGGTGTACTCTGGTTCCATCTCCTGTCCCCCAGGGCGCGCATGCAGCCAGGGCAGGTGTTGACCTGTGTTGGCTGCTCTTTTATGGGGCTTCTGACTCAACCTGTGCAGGAGCATGTGAGTGGACATTGGCTTGGGCCCTAGGAGGGATGGGTCCTGAGTGTCAGGGCAGGCTGTGTGGCCTTGTTCTCAGGCCACCTGTGCAGGGCCCAGTGGCCCAAGGCACAGGCCGCCCCTCACTGGAAAGAGGGCCTGGCTGCCGTCCTGCCGGAGTCTTGGGATGGAGATGTGTCCGGCATCAGAGCCGATGGACAGGGACCGGCAGGGGCACTGAAGACCCAGGGGTGCCAATGCAGACTCATTTCCAGGAGCATGTTCTGTGCGCCAAGGCAAGGCCAGCGTGGTGGGAGGGTGGGTGCAGCCCAGGGAGGTCTGGGCAGGGTGTGAGGGCCGGGGGTGTGGGGGCAGTGGTTGTCCAGCTGAGTTTGGCAGCAGAGTGGGGCAGGAGGTGCACGGCGTTGGGGGAGGGTGGAGATCGGGATGTTTAGGCTGGGAGCTGACAGCCTGCTGAACACAGGGCAGGAGGGGTGAGCGTGTGCTGCTGGCTGTGTGCAGAACAGGAGCCTGGGGGCGCGCAGTCAGCAGAGATGGAGCTCTCCCAGACCAGGGGCTATTCCATCACATTTGGAAGTGAGTGTGTCGCAGAGGAGTCGGGGTTGCAGGAAATGTAGGAGACTGAATCGCAGGGCAGAGAAAGTGGGGAGGGAGATGAAAGGGGGGCGGGTGTCATTGGGCGCCCTGGACCCCACCGCTCTCACCATCCAGTTGTTCTTGGCGCTGTGCCTTACAAAGACTTTGCTGAGGGCGCCTCCTGCTGTCCACCCTGCTCAGGATCCTAGGGTCATAGCAGTGACCAAGTAGACAAGTTCCTGTTCTGGGGCACTGTCTTCTCCAAGCAGATGGACAGTGGGTGTGGACATGAGGGCCCAGGCTTGGGGCCAGTGAGGACAGTTAGGGACCTGGCCAAGCAGTTTCATGAGAAAGAGCTCAGGATTGAGGCTGGGGGTCAAGCTGTGGAGTATGGCTGCCCATGTAGGTGACCAGGTGGGCCTCGAGCTGGACACTGGGTAGGAGCTGGCCTGAGAACCATGCAGACACCAGGCCTGGTGGGGGCTCATGGTGTATCCTGTTAGGTGGGGTGGTGGGAGCCCCTCATGCGCCTTCTACCTGCCTTCCCTTCCCTGCCTTGGCTGCTTTTCTCCTTGCCCTGTTTCCGTGTCCCTGCCCCTCACAGGCCCTGTGGAAGCCCCTTCTCACTCTGTGGTGACAGGTCAGGACTTCACAGCACAAGTGTCCACACCCTGCTGCATCCAAGCCTGTTGCCTCCCTCATGGTCCTCAGGGATGGAGAGAAAGTGTCCTGGCTTGGCCAGGTGGTCCCCCAGGGCTCATTTCCAGCCACGGCTTCTCATTTTACTCCAAATTAAACTGGGATTTCTTTCCAGGACATGTAATTAGAGTGCAGTTCCCTGCCTCCCTGGACTCGGCTCATGTGGGAGGAGGGAAGGCGGCATGGAGCCCAGCATCAACCTCGGGTAGGGGCCTGTGGACCTGAGCGCCAGCCCAGGCTGCTGGCGATGGTGATTTTTGCTGGTCCTCTCCTTTGGGGGCCGCGGACACAGGCTGATTCGGGGGCAGGAACGTCTGGTGCTGGAGGCCGGGCTTGACAGCGGAGAGGAGGAGGAGGCTAAGAGGTGGCCACGTGGATTTCCTCAAGGGTCGGGGGTGCTAAGGACACCGGTCTTCACAGCTGTGACTGGAGGGCAAGAATGCCAGCATTCCTAGAGGCTTTTCCTCAGCCGTGCTGTCAGGGTTTCTGTGTTGCACAGGCGGGGTCTCTGGCTCCTCTGCCTTCCCTACTTGAGGCTTGTTGTTGGTTGTCCTTGCAGGCCCAGATGCTGCACTCCCCAGTGGCTGGAACGAGTGGGCAGGGGCTGAGCTCCTCCCACATTCCTCTTGTTCTGTGGTCTGGTATCTGCCCCCGACTGTCTATGGGACCTCACTGGTGGCTTAGAACTGCCCGCTCAGGTGTCCTTGCAGTCCCCTGATTTGGCAGTATGCCGAGAACCTGCCCCCCAACCCAGCGAGGCCCTGCCCCCTCAGCCACAGCTCTGTGCTGTGGGGTGCAGGGCAGTGCCTAGACCTCACACCCCTCCTAGCAGGGACCTCCTTGTCCTCCTTGTCCCTGGGAAGGCCAGAGCCCCGTGGTGGTTATGTAAGGCCTGGGATTGAAGTGCTGCCCTGTGGGTGGAGTCCCAGCCTCCTCTAGCACCCGCCCTCAGGCTGGTATTTATAGAGGTCCTGGCATGCTCCCCCTCCTTCTTCTCTTCCTCTGTCTCCTGGTTTTGGGGGCAGAGCTGGGCACCCCACGTCCCCATCCTCGTGTGTGGGAGCTGAGAACCCGCACTGTGGTCCTGCAGGGTAGGGTCCGTGTTGCTTGGGCTTGAGGCAGGTGTGGTCCCTGAGCTGGGGATGGTCTCCTAGGCCTGTGTCCTCTGGGTATTGTTGGATATGGCCTGGAAGGAAGCAGAGTAGGACTGGTTC